CCTTCTGCAGCCCTTGTGGTTCAAGGGGAGGAGACAGGACCCTCGCTGTCCCATCCCTGCTTTAGTTCCACTCCCTGGTCCCCGATCCCTGGGCATCCAGCTCAGACAGCTGCAGGTGCATCTTCCCCTTCTGCTCCCGGTTGCCCGTGACCCATACGTGTGCTGTTGAACACATCTGTGCCTTCCGAACTGTTAGCTCCTACGCATCCTTCAAGATCCTGCTCAGATGGCCCTACTGTGAGCCCGGCCTCCTTTTCCCTAGACAGAGTTAGTCCTTCTCTCTACTTACTCCTTTGCACTCCTAGGAACTTCCTTTGCACTTGGTGGCATCTGAGCCCTGTGTGCCTGGCGCACACCTGGCAAATGGCGGGTGCTTGGTAGACATTTTTGAATGACTGAGAGAGCAAACAACACATGAAGGCCCCTCCTGCCTCCTCAGTCCTGGCCTTCCATTGGCTTCTTTTCCCTGGGGTGGGCCTATCACCCTCTGAGGTAACAGAGCCCTGTGTATAGCGATCACCATGGCAACTCCAATGAACATCTGCGGGGGGTGGGGCTGCTTCCTAGCAGCCATCCATTGGTCCTCACCAGTAGTTGTGCAGCACAGATCTCCACTCCTGGGCTTCAGCACACACCAGCGTGGTTCCCATGTTTTCTGACGTTATGAAAGGGATTGGAGAGGTGAGGCAGAGACTTAGGAGTTGGGACGGGGCTCTCCCAGGACATAGGATTTCATCTTCCTCTTCCCCATTCAGAGTTGCTTGTGAGTGAAGAGTGCCCAGACTGCAACTGGACCTACCTTCCTGCCCTCCTCAACTGACGTCCCCCGGGACCTTTCCCTCCAGGTCAGAAACCGGAAGTGAGTTCGCACTGCTGTTCAAGCCGGTCCAGGCTATACTGGACTGGCAGTGCCATGGGGGCAGACAGGGGGTTGCTATGGGCACATCAAGTGGGTGGCTGGGAAGGGAGCACAGGGACAGGAGCAGACGGCTAACTTAAAGGAGCTTCGACGACCTTGAAGATGCATGGCTTAGTTGTAGCTCCACCTGGGCGAAGTCCCATTTCTTTTCTGAGCCCAGTTTCTCCGTCTGTGAAAGACGGTAAGTTAATGGCTTCTCTAAACACCTTACTGGGTACTTGTGAAGACAGACTAATCTGCTAGATGTGAGAATGCTTGACACAGGAGTTGTCTTAGTCATCTCTTGCTGCATAACAAATCGCCCCAAAACGTAGTGGCTTAAGATGACAATATTTATTATCGCACAGTTTCTGCGAGTCAGGAGTATAGCTGATGCCTTCGTGGGTTTTCTGTCTCAGGGTCTCTCACAGACTTCAGTCAAGATGTTGACCAGGGCTTCAGTCTCATCTCAAGGTTCAACTAGAGAAGGACCCCTGTCCAAGGCCACCCCATGGCAGGATTCAGGTCCTCCCAAGCTGTCAGCTGCAAGCTCCTCCTAGTTCCTTGCCACAGGGCAGCTCACAGCATGGAAACCGGCTTCCATCAGAGCGAGTGAGCGGAGGGAGCCAGAGAGAGTGTGAGAGAAAGACAGAAGTCACAGTCATTTATAACTTGATCTTGGAAGTGACATCCCTCACATTTGCCATATTCTATTGGTCACCGGGTCCAGCCCGCACTCAAGAGGAGGGGAGGAGGGATCACTGGGAGCCGTGTCAGCTGCCCACACCGTCTTCCCTCTGGGCCCCAATAATATACATCCCTTCCATGGACAAAATACATTCATCTCCTCCCAAGATCTCCAAAAGTCTCATCCTATAATAGCATCAGCTTAAAATCTAGAGTCTGGTTATATAAATCAAGTTCAGGAGTGTGTGTGCCTCCTCGGGTGTCATTCCTTGAGAGGCACTTCTTGAGTTCAGCTCTTCTCCAGTGGTAGATCTGTGAAATGAGGTCATCTGTCCTGAAGATACCTGATATACAATGATGTGATAGTCACAGGATAAGAGCTTTCGACATTCATATTCAAAATGAGGAAAATGGAGACAGGGAGGAGCCACTGGTCCATAGCAATTCTGAAATCTAGTCGTGCAAATGTTGGACATTCCTTGATTGGGTTTCAAGTCCTGGGAATAATTTCCCATTGCTCTCATCCCTGCACTATGGACTCTTCTGCTTCCACCCTCTGACTCCTCTCTCTCTCTCTCTCTTGTCCGGTGGTCTCATTTTATATTGTTTCTATCCCTTTCACTCTTAGCAGGCAGTACCTTTGCTGATACAGTTTTCTCAAAAACCATGAAACTTGCAAGGGTTTACGCCAGCAGACAAAAGCCACACCCTTTTCCACCTGTGCTTCTGCCAAGGATCAGCATCCTTAAGCTTCCTAGAGAGCCCTGTGGTTCCATTAAGAGGATATATGAGGCATATCCTTAATCTCCTTAAAGGCCCCCTTGTGAGACTTGTAACACCCTAATCCTTTGTTCTTTCTGAAGCTTTAACAATAGGTTGCACAGTCACACTCTTGGCCACATTTTCTAGACAGTCCTCTGAAGCCCCTTCTTAATTGTTGCATCTTTTGGCATCTGGAGAGGATGAAATTTTCAAATCATTAAGTCCTGGCTTTTCATTTAACAAACCTTTCTTCACTTCATCTCCCTCCTCTCACACTTCACTGGAGGCAGCAGGAAGAAAATCTCTCAGTTTATTACTCACATGTTCTGCTTGCAGGTGACATAACTGCAGGTGACAGTGTCTCTCAGTTTCTGCCACTATGTAACAAGGGCCTTTCTTCCTCTAAGTTCTAATAACATGTTCATCTCTTCCTTTTGTGACCTCACTGGGAGCATCTTGCAAGTCCAGACTTCTGCCAACAGACTGTTCAAGGCAATTTAGGCTTTTTCTATCATGTTTCTCAAAATCCTTCTAGGCTCTGCTTACTGCTGGGTTCCAAAGTCGCTCCCACATTTCTAGGTATTTGTTAGAGCAACATCTCACTCTTGGTACCAAAATATGTATTAGTTATCTATTGCTGCATAACAAATGACAACGAAACTTAGCAGCTCCAAACTGTATGTTTAAAAAAGCACAAATTTATGATCTTAAGAGTTTCTCTGGGTCAGGATCCTGCTTGTAGCATGGCTGGGTTCTCTGGCTCAGGCTTTCTCACAGGCTGTAATTAAAGTGTCATCTGGGCTGTGTTCTCATGTCAAAGCTCGACTGGGGAAAGACCCACACCCAAGCTCATTCAGGCAGCAGGATTTATTCAATTCTTCGAGGACTGTTGGACCAAGGGCTTCTGTTCCTTATGAGCTTCTGGCCAGAGGCCACCCTCAGCACCTTGCCACATGGGCCTCTCCACAGGGCAGCTCAAACCATGACAGCTGCTGCTATCAGAGTGAGCAAATCAAGGAGAGCCAGGGAAAGAGTGTGAACAAGACAGAAGTCACTAATATAATCCTGGAGGTAACATCCTTTTATTCAGAAGCAAGTCACTAGGTCCCTAGCTCATACTCAGGGGGAGGGGATTACAGTGTGTGAATACCAGGGGTGTAGGATCTTCAGAAGTCATATCAAAAGTCGTACAATCACCAAAAAATTATTAAGTGTCAAAATTAATAGGGTGTTTTGCTTGTCAATTTTTCAAGAGAATAAAGTTGATCTGGCTCCTGCTTGCTTTGAGCTTACCAGCAAACTGACTTGCTGGGTGACATTAGATGAGTCATTCCCCCTCTCTGGGCCTCAGTCCTCAAAGATCCCTGCCAGCTCTGACTTGCTTCTGTATTGGGGGTTCGTGACACCCCCGATATAACGGGGTCCCCAGGCAGTGTGCGTTGCAAGAGATGGGAGAGACAAAGACACAGACACAAAAAGAAAGGTGAAAGGGTGCGGGGAGGTCAGGGGACCACCAGCATTCCTGTGAGCCAGGGGGGACTGACTGAAGTCTAGCACCCGTTTTTATTCTCTTTTTCATGTTATAGATTACAATGATTTGATGTGAAGAGCTCGTGAGTTAGCAGTAAAGCGTATAATCTAAAGGGGAACAAAAGAGACCATGTTCTTCTTTCTACTTTATCTAGTTTCTCGTTTACTGAGACATGAACTCAGGAGATAGGTAGGAACATTGCCCCAGGCTTAGAATAGCAAATTGCTCTTATCTGCTGCGCTGACAAGCTTTGATGATTCTCTCTGCCTTCGGATTGCAAGCCCATCCCGGTCCGTTTGCAGACATCTCAGATCGGTGCAGTGTCCCCCTCAAGGTCAAGCGGCTTTTGCTCAGTGAACCGACATATCCACAGGTTACTCTTTGGAAAAATCCTGTCCCACTCCTGGGGTTCTCATGTCTCAACCCTAACCCTCAACACTTCTGTTCCTCCCTTATTACAAAGACATTTACCATGGAGGGCCAGGTTTTATTTTATTTATACTACAAAATTTGCTAAAACCTGGGGAAAAACCCGCGTGGGATACACTAAGAGATTATAAATGAGGGAAAGACCACTTGGGAAAAAGGAATGAAATCTGCAGAGGCTTTTGGAGGTGCCAGAGGTGCCCCTCCAATTTGTCCCAAAGGCCTTTCCTCAGAAGACTGAGGTTATGCCAGAGTGTGGAGTCCTGCTCTAAGCTCTCCATAGCAGCTAATCTTCCCTCCCCTGACCATGAGTGAACAGCCAGCAACATGGATAAAACTGTATTTGTAGGAAGGCAGATAGTTACCAGGATAGGGGCACAGGGGCAATACACCCCACAGCCACGGGCCTGGTGGGAGTGACTAGGGCTTTCCAGAGAGGGCAGAGTCTGCAGGGGTCCAGGAGGCAGGTCTGGTGCCAGGGGTGATGAATGGATGGGGCAGGGGCTGTGGATGTGGGCAGTGCCACAAAGCTCCAAGAAGACCCTGGGGACCTCGGGTCAGGGGCTGGGCAGACGGCCTCCCTGTTCTGCTCTCAGCTTATTCTCATTCACAGAGACTGTGTCATCTGAGACGATGAAACATGTTGCTTTGTCTACAGGACCCAGTTTGGAATTACCTGTCCTGGAGTAAGAGTCAATGGAGCTGGGCTGCCGAGCAGGTAGGACGGGTGGGCCAGGGATGTGCTGAATGCACATCCAGGGCTTCCGGAGGGACTCCTGGGGGCAGCAGGCACAAGGCCTTGCTCCACTCCCTCAGTCTTGCTTTGGCCTCGGACCCACCATTGCCCTGACTTCCTAGGGGGCATTCTGTTTGAAGACAGAAGATAGAACGAGGGAAAGCAATTACTGAGCCCCTCCCCTCCTGCCATGCGTGGGAATTATGACCCCAACAAGTCCCCATCTTCAGGTGTTCTGAGTCTCTGCACACTAGAAGGGCAGAGCTGCAGGGGAACCTTGAGGGGCCTGGCCACACAGGTGGGGGTCCCTGCAGATCGTGAGTGAGCCAAGACCAGGAGGTGGTATGGCCCAAGGCAGGAAGAAGAGAATGTTCCAGGCAGGGGGACAGGCAGGAAAAGGCTTAGAAGGGAGAGAGGCTCATGCTTTCATGGAGCCCTGAGGACAAAAGGAAGGATTTCAGTGCAGGAGTGACTGGTTCAGGCCAGTCCAGGGAAGGGTCCCCAGGAGCGCGTGGAGGGTGGCTGGGGCCGGCAGGTGGGATGGGGGTGGCAGTCCTGCTCAGGGCTTTCCGCAGTGGCCTGAATGTCCCGAGGGACCTTGTTAAACCTCAGACTCCCAGCCTTTCTGATGCAGCAGCTCCAGGAGGGGCCCGGGAATCTGCATGTTTACAGAGTGCCCCAGGGAATCTGGATACTTGGCCAATTTTATGAACTGTGCTGACTGATCCTCTGATCCTCATAACAGCAGCGAAGTGGGATTTATTCCGCCCATTTTATAGCGGAATGAATGGAATGAAGGAAAGGTGAAGTTGCAATGAGAACTGAAAGCCTTCATTCATTCATTGATTCATTCATTCAACAAACAGTCAACTCTGAGAGGACAGGGCTTGGCCCGTTCAGCTCACTGTGGGGTCCCCATTGCCTGGCACGGCACGGGACACACGTTGGTGCTTGCTCACTGGATGAATGGTGAATGTACTGGCTCTCTGAGCCAGGGGACACAAGACACATCTGGGCTGTAAAAGTGCTCATAACCCCAAAGGGCTGGCAGAGGTGAGCAGGCGATCACAGCAGTATGTGCTGGTGAGTCAGACAGTGGGAGCACAGCCGGGGACAGGCGGGCAGCGCTGCTCCAGCTGTCCTGAGCCCGAATCCTGTGGAGCCCCAGGAAGAATCCATCCCTGTGCTGGGCCTCAGTCTCCCCAGGAGCAGGGTAGGGGCTGTGGTGACCAGGTGAGTGCTGTCCCCACTCTTAGCCTCCAGTCTTTTGAGAAGGGTCACCATGTCCGTCCTGGCAGCCCAGCCGTCCCCATGGTGCCTCTCTGCTTGGCTGCCTGCTGATTGAGGCAGAACCAGGACAGGAGGGAGGGAAGACAGTCTGGTCTCTGGGAACAGGTTTTCCCTTCGCCTCTTTGCATAGGTGACAAAGGGGCAGAACAAAGGGTGGGGAAAGGAAGGTAAAGAGGAAGACGGCAGGAAAGCTGGGAAATCTCAACCTTTGCTGTCTCTCGCCACCCTGGGGAAGGGTCCGCAGCCCTCACGGCATGGGCAAGAGGGGCTTTCAGAGCACCATCACTTGGGGACCACAGAGCCGGGTCCAGTGGGAGTGAAATAAAAACACCAATGGCTGGTGAAGTCTGATGCTCATGCAGCCTTCTCTGAAAAACTAAACTGGGACAATCGAATGTCCACCAGTGGGGCAGCGGCTAAATCCTGCAGGGTTTGAAAAGAAAGTTGGGTCTACATCCTCTGCCTTGTGTAGATTCCCAAGGCATGATGGTGGTTTTTAACAGCAAGTTACAAAGCAACGCATAGAATCTGATTTCATTTATACACAAAATTGAAACAAAACTATGTCTCTTTTAAGAGGACTAGAGCTGCAAGTCCCCAACTCCTGGTTGGTGGAGGCCTGTTAGGAACTGGGCCTCACAGCAGGAGCGAAGCTTCATCTGTGTTTACAGCCGCTCCCCATCGCTCCCATCACCGCATAAGCTCCGCCTCCTGTCAGATCAGCGCGGCATTCGATTCTCATAGCAGCTGGAACCCTACTGTAAACTGCGCATGCGAGGGATCTAGGTTGCACGCTCTTTATGAGAGTCTAATGCCTGATAATCTGAGATGGAGCTGAGGCGGTGATGCTAGCGCTGGAGAGTGGCTGCAAATACAGGTTATCATTAGCAGAGACGTTTGACTGCACAATAAATGTAATGTGCTTGAATCATCTGGAAACCATCCCTGCCCCAAGTCCATGGAAAAATTATCTTCCATGAAACCAGTCCCTGGTGCCAAAAAGGTTGGGGACCACTGGGCTAGAGACCTGTCTACAATACTTTGGAGGGAAGTCCACCAAATACATTTATACCTGTAACCTGGGATTGAGGTTGGGGGCAGACTGTGAGGGGACACTTGGCTTGGCCTCTGTATTTTGCACAGAAAGAAAGACTCTGTATACTATTCGGGTGTTGTATAAAATATGTATTCCAAGCTGCCATCCCCCTGGCTGTAAAATGGACTGCTCCTTACGAGTCACTAAGAAACAGAAACAGCTCTGGCTACACCATGAGCCAGGGCCATGGATTGTCAACTGCAGCCTGGTGTCACAGGTGTTCAAATGGGGGGAATGAGCGTCTTAGCATCGATGAGGTGCAGAGCCACCGTGTACGACACCCTTTACCCCTGCTCATCCACTCATGCACTGATGGACTCTGTCGCCTTCCCAGATAGACAGGGCTCTCTGGTGGGTGCTGTGGGACACCCAGGACTGACTCACACGTGGACCCTGCCTCAGTGACCCTCTCCACACATCTAGGAGGGGAAATGAGACTGTTTGTAGCTCCTAGTGTGGCAGAAAGGGAAAGCCCAGGATCTCAAGAGCTGTGCGGGGCGTGTTAGGGACAGTGCTGGGAGCTGAGGAGGCAGCTGGCCCGGCTCCCAGCTTGGGGTGGGTGTCAGGGAGGACTTCTCGCTGGGCTGCATTTGAGGAAGAAGGGTAGGATTCCGACTTAGGGAAGAGGAGGGCTGGCCTTCCAGGTAGCAGACCAGCCAAGGCAAACACTGGGAGGGGGACCTCACAGGGCGTGGGTGGGAAGAAGCAGCAGTCTCTCTGTCTGGAGCCAGGGAGGAGCTGATGAGAATGAGGAGGAGACACCGCAGGCCGCGAGCAGGAGGCCCGTGGGGCCTGGTGAGGGGTGGGCATGAGAGAGCCTGGGAGGTGGCTGGGGCCCCATCACCCCTGGAGGAGAGAGGAGGTGGGGTCTGGGGCACAGCAGCCTGAACAGGGAGCAAAGACTATTTCCCTCACTGGATTGCTGGGAGGTTCCAGGTGCGGAAAGGCACTTTCCAAATGGAGCCAGGAGCATTAAAGCACAGAGAGGCCAAATGCCCTGCTCAAGGTCACACAGCTAAGCCTCATGGCTGGACAGGCGTGGGCTGCAGTCCCTACTGTCCAGAGCAACATGGAGCCCTGTCCAGGGGGTGCTGGGCGGGCTGAACCACCTTCCCCTTGTGTGTCTCCTTATTTCTCACCCATGCCTCTCTGCCTCCTGTGGTTTCTCTCTGTCCCTCTCCCTTCTCCTATCTCTGGATCTCGGGGGCTCTGTGTCTCTCTGTTTCTCCTCCCCACTCCTGTCTCCGTCCCTCTTCCCACCCTCTACTCTCTGCGTTTGTCTGTGTGTCTCTCCCAACCTGTCCGTCTTTGCTTGGCCCGGTTCAGGTACAGCCACTCTGGCCAGGGCCCACCTGAACAACAAGGAGGGCCAGCAGGACGCGGCCCCCCAGAAGACTTCCTGCAGCTCCCTGGACACCTCCAAGTTCAAGTACCAGGTCCCGCTCTCCCCACAGACACCCCTGCACCGGGGAGGCAGCAGCCGAGGCAGCCCCCTGGGGCAGCGCCACCTGGAGGAGATCTGTCCCCCACCCCCAACCGTGGTCAGCACGGAATCTCCGGGGATGGACCCGCAGCCCAGGACCCTGACGAAGGGGGGCTCCAGGTCCTCCTTGAGAGAGAACAGGGCCACCTTCCGAGAGGGGGCTCAGCCACGCCAGGGGCTGGATGAAGGCCCCAGCCTGGGGGCGCAGGACCAGAGGAGCAGGCCCGGGAGCCAGAAAGGCAGCGTCATTCCGAACAACATTCGCCACAAGTTTGGGAGCAACACGGTGGACGAGCTGCTCTCCGAGGAGCAGGTGGGTGCCAAAGCAGAGCCCAGGAGGCTACGGGCAGCAGAAAGCTTATACATGGAGACTTACAACGAGGACCCAAAAGAAACCTGCTCTTGAATACAAAGCCCCTGTGATAGTATCCTGAGAAGGCAGTAATTACTGAGCACCTGCTATGTGCCAGGCACATGCACTGTTTAAACTCTTCACGTGTAACAACCCATTTAATCTTCCCGACAGCCCATTAGGAAGATACTGTTATCATTTTATGGAGGAGGAGCCTGCAGCTTAGGGGGGGGATAAATACGTTAACCAAATTCACCCGGTTGTGTGGCACAAGGATGCAAACCGGGCTGGCAGATCAGGAGCCCGGGCCCCTCATGAGTTTGCAGTTAAAAGTCTTTTGCTTGAATTGGAAGCTTGCAACTTGAACGAGTCTCCTGAGGGAGACAGCATCGAGTGGATCGGCAGCATTTGCCGGGAATCAGAAGACCTGGGATTGAGTCATTATTTCTCAGATGCCCCTGGCCCATTGCGGGGGGTAGGGGAATAAGAGAGAGTAGAGTGGGGACCTTCGGCCCCCCGGCCCCCAACCCCGCCGCCGGGTTAAGGCCGCCCGCCAAAGGGGGGGGAAAAGGAAGGAAGGCAAGGGTCAAGGCAAGAAGAAGCAGGGGGGGGTGTGGGGCTGTGCCCTGCGTTCCCATCCCTGTCTCCACTCCCTGCCTCCCTACTCAGGCTCGAAAGGCTGTTGGTGAAGGCTTTGAGGGCCAGAAGAGGGCCAGCTCGTGGCCCAGCAGGACCCAGAGTCCTCTGGAATTCTCCTCCATCTTCGCGGACTACTACGATCTGGGATACAACATGCGGTCAAACTTGTTTCGAGGTCAGGTCAAAGGACAAAGGTGGGGGCTGTGAACACCCATGGTCTAAGGCATCGGACAGGGAAGGCCTTTGGGGTGTCCACCCCATATGGGGCCCAGGACCCCAGGGCACATCCCCACGGACACTCATTTCAGGCCCGCCACAGGCGTCTTATCTGCCGGGCCCTGCCGAGCAAGTTCTGGTGCCCAGCAAGTCTATCCTTGCTGTGGAGAGGATCCAGCCCCTCACACCCCCAGACAGCTCTGGTTTCTTAATCTGCCAGTGGGAGGCACCTTTGGTCACAGTGACAATATCAGGTTTATTGGGTTCAAAGCTCAGCTCAGCCACTCACTAGCTGGGTGTGACCTCAGGCAAGATCCTTAACTCTCTGGCCTCAGCTGCTTTCTTGGTACAAGGTACAGGGGATGATAACCATAGCGTGGCCCTCACTGGGCCATTGGCAGGACCCTGCGAAGTGCCGCCTGGAGGCATTTAGCCTGCATTACATAGCGAGTGCTCAGGAGCTGCCAGGCCATCATTTTTCTTCCCCAGCGCCCAGCAGTGGCACCACCTGGGCAGGCAGGAAGCCTGGGTTGGAGGCTCTGACATTTACAGCAGCTTCCTTTGGGTCAGCCTAGTCCTGCTTGGTTGGGGGGTGGTGCTGTTAGCTGCATTTCACAGGCAGATCTGAGGTCATTGGCCCAAGACCCCTTAGTAGTCTGAGGTATGTCTGGGACTCAAATCCAGGTTTTCCTTCTGCCTCTAAAGCCCCGAAGTCTTTCCTGCATACTTGCTCACCTCCCTAGCTATGGCCCTGTTCCTGAGGGCTTTCTGGATTGCTCGGATGCGGGTCCACAGCCACCATGCAGGGACTTCTCTGCCCCCGCCACATTCCAGTTCAGCCTCATTGCAAAGGGCCACCTCTTTCTAGCTCCTTCCTCTCTCCTCCCTGCAGGCCCTCTCATGTCCTCCCAGGGCCTGGAAAACCTCCTCCACTGGCTCAGGTCCCTGTCACCCGAGCAACCAGACACCCACTGGAAGCCTTTCTAGGCTTTTCTTTGAGCTTGAAGAAGGGGTGGTGCTGGGGAGGGAAGTGACAATACAGCTCAGATTGTCCCCTACCCTGGGTCCCACGGTCCTACCTTCCACGTCTCTAACAATTATCACCACATAGCTTTTACATACAACCTTATATGATAATGTCTGCATAAATGCAAAAGAATAACATTTTAAAAATGTCTGTGTGCCCATTATGCAGCCTCGGAAGTAGAGCCATGCCAAGGGTGTGCTGGGGCCAGCTTGCACCAGCTTGCACTAGCTTGCACCAGCTCACAAGAGACGATTGTTCAATTTTTCTGAATTGATCGGCATACAAATGCTACCTTATAATTGGTCATAGTAGTAGTATTTACACTCCGGAAATTGGCAAACACCCCTGCCTGTGCCCCATCCGTGCGCCTCTCTCCGTCTCCGTCTGTGCAGGGTTAGCCTTTGCGCTTGCCGTTGGAGGTCGAGGAGGCTGGTGTGGCTGCACAGGAGCCAGGGAGAAGAAATCAGAGAGGAGTGAGATAGATGGGAAGCCAAGCCAGGGTCGTTAGCGGGAGAGTGGGTTTGGTTTAAGATAAAGGACCACTCCAGTTGCTGTGTTGAGAACAGACGTAGGGAGTTGGGGCAGAATGAGGGACACCAGAGAGGAGGCAACTGCAAAAATCCAGATGGGACAGATGACGCTGGCTTGGTCTTGGGAGCCGGGTAGCGCACTGCACAATTTTGGGGGGCTCCGTTGTGCGATGTGGTGGCTCAGGGAGGTGAAGGTGGTGAAGGTGGCCTGACGTAGAAGGATTCTGGCTATTTGCATATGGTGAAGAGAACAGAATATGCTAACAAATGGACTCGGGGGTGAGAGAGAGGAATTGACGTTGATTTCAAGGGTTTTGACCTGAACAACTGGAAGGACGGAATTGCTATTTACTGAGACAGAGAAGGGGCCAGCAGGAGTGAGTTGAAGAAGTCCTATCTCGTGCTGAGTCATAGAGGTAATCTTTTCTATAGTTTTCTAAAAGATTGAGTTTTGTTTTTCACATTTAAGTTTTTAATCCACCTGGAGTGGATTTCTATTTTTAGTGTGAAGTAGGGATTCATCTTTAAGCTCTTCTCTTTGTAGATGACTGGTTATCTCAGACCCTTTTGTTGAATAGCCCCATCTTCCCTCCGTGACCTGCAGTGGCACCTCTGTTACCCGTCAATCCGGTCACATGTGCTTGGATCGGTTTCCAGATCTCTATTCTGTTCATTGGTCTAAGATTACACTTTTAATTACCAGGGTATTATAAGTAGTCTGATATCTGGCTGGGCAGTACCCACCCCCACCCCAAAACCAGTTAATGTCTTGGGTTTCTAGGGCCTTGACTTGTCCATATAAATTTTATGTGGAAATTTCCATGAAAAACCCTGTTGGGATTTTGATTGGAAGTACACTGAGTCTACGGCTCAATTTAGGAGCAGTTATTAGCTTTATGATAATGAATTTTCCAATCTATAAATATGATATATAGCTCCATTAATTTAAATCTTTCTTCAAAATGTGCCAATAACATTTTGTATTTTTTTTTCCTACAAAGATTATGGCATTTTTTGTTAGATTTATTTAGGAGAAGCTCTTATTTTTTTGCTACTTATTGCAAATGGTATCTTTTTAAAAATTATATTTTCTAACTTTGATGCTGATAACTGTATTCACAGATGCAATTTTCATTTTGTATATTAATCTTATATCCAGAAGCTTTGCTCAGCTCACCTATTAATTCCAATAACTGTTTGTAGTTTCTTTGGGACTTCTTTAGACTAATAATAATGGCTATATTTATGTATAGTATGTAATGTGCTGTGGCACATATTACATGTTATACATGTACTTTACATACATTTTAATGTATGTAAGTATTTTACATACATTTTAATTTTCACAAGAACCCTATGTGGTAAGTGGTATAATTCCCTTTTTTTTTCAGTTGGAAGAAATTAAGGCTTGGAAAGGTTAAATAACTTACGTGAAGCCACACAGGTAGGAATGGTGAGAGTTGGGATTTAAACCCTGCCAGCCAAGGGCCAAGTTCACCTTCTTAACCACTCGGCTTTTCTCACCTTCCCATCAGTGCCGGGCTGACTGTTCTGGACAGTGGCGCATGTGAGCAGGAAAAGCAGGTGTCCTTATCTGCTTCCTGACTCTAACACTGTACCATTAACATGTAACATTTTTAGAGGAATTTTGAAGATCAGATTAAAGAGGTCCCCCTTTGTTCCTGGCTTGTACTTTAATTTTTAAAAAAATTATAAATAAGTGTTGAGTTTTATTATTTATACTGCAGTTATTTAGATGATAATATGATTTTTTTCCCTTCCATCTGTTAATATGGTAAATTATGAACTGATTTCCTAATATTAAAGCAAATTTTAAACTAATGTACAAAAAAATAAAAAATTATATAAAATGGCTTGGTCCTTACACAAAAAATATAAAAAAATAAACCAGCCTGTGTGCATTATCTTTTTTAAATGTGAAAGCCACTGTCCATACAGAAGAGTGTATAAAACCTCTGCGTGCAGCTGAAAGAATAACACTAAATAGCCACTTGCAGGCTCCCAGCTGCAGGCAGGGCTGGCCGCAGCACCCTGGCTTGTGTTCGACTTTTATTAATAAGCCCTTGTGCTTTCTTTGTGGCGTGAGCTCCTAAGTATGAACCCTGAGCAATGCTAGAGAGCCCAGTCGGGGAAGAGCGCACAGAGAAGGTGACATTTTAGAGGAGCCTTGAAGGAGGGAAGCAGGTCAGCCCTGTGGATTTCTGGGAAGAGCAGTCAGGCAGGGGACCATGTTGATGGCATAAGCTCTTACTTGCCTTTTTACTGGGGCCATTGTAGGATTTTGTACACAAGAGCGACTTACGTTGAAAAGGATCCACCTGGCTACTGTGTTGGAACTGGACAGAACACACTGGCACAAGAGTGGAAGCAGGGGGACCAGGGTGGTGGCCCTGGAGGTCAGAGAAGTGGTTGGATTTTTCATGTCTGGAGGAGGCAGAGCAGATTGGATTTCTTGTAGATTAGTTGTGGCAGCGAGGAGAGAAGTCAAAGATGACTCCAGGGCCTGGAAACCGAAGGGTGCAGTTGCAGAGGAGGGCTGCAGGTAGAGCAGGTAGTGTGGAACCAGGTGTGGGTGAGTGGGGTTCAGCGTGGGAAAGGTTGAGTTTGGGCGGCAGCCTTGCACAGGGACAGGGAACACAGACTTGGATTCATGCAGCTGGAGTTTGATTCAGGCTTTGCCCCAGTAGCAAGCCATTCCTTCCCTTTATATCTGAGTTTCTGCCTCTGGAAAATGTGAACAATAACAGCACCTGCCTCATAGAAGTTTTTAATAGAACAAGATGCTTTAATATTTGCATAGTTCTTAGAACCTGGCACCTGGAAAGCATTTGTCAAACACATTCCCAATGGCCCTGTGTGTGAGGAAACCCTGCCGCGGGTAAAGGATCAGAAGGGAAGGCAGACAGCTGACTCCGGGTTGTCGCCTGGCTTTGGCTGCCCTGAGAGTTCAGTGAACCCGGTCTAGGGAGGGTGTTGGTGCAGCCAGGATGTGTGGGCTGCGGGTGGCCCACATAGGATGTCCTGTGGGAATGGGATCCAGGTGAGCGGCCCGCTGTGCATTTTCTGCCTGCAAACTCACCATGGCTCCAGCTTCAGGAGAAGGTCAAGGCTACCACTGTGGGCTAACAAGAATGTTCTCGTCTTCTCTCTGGGAAGGGAGAGTGTTGGCACGTGGTCACGATAAGCCAAGTACAAATCAAACCTGGACTGGGCTGCTCACCTGGACATCCTGCTCTTTGGGTCAGGGAGCATGCTCAATGGCAGCAGGGGTAGCCAGGGGTGAGGACAGCCCTCAACCTATCCCGTCTCGTTTCCCTGTGTCCAGGTAGCCAGGGATCTCTGACGCAGCCCCGTGAGGATTTCCCTCACCTCCCTTCCATTTTGGAATCCCATTTTCCCTATCCTGTGTCTTCCTCTTTTTTGGTTTTCTCTCCTGTCCTTGGGGTGGAATATGTCTCCTACCTGGATGGCGTCATCGTTAGAGAACATAGCCTGCAATGACTTTAGTCCTTTGAAGTTGTTGAGACTTGCTCTATAGCCTAGCAGATGGCACAGTTTTGTGGATGATCTGTATGTGCTTGCAAATAATCTCCTGGGTGCAGGATCTTGTGTTTGTCTAATAGAACAGCCTTGGTAATTATTTCCATACAAATCTTTTAATTCCTTATTAATAGTCTTTGCTTGATTTATGAATTACTAAAAGATGTGTCTTTAAATTTTCCCTAGGATAGCAGATTTGTCAATTTCTCCTTGTAGTTCTGTCAATTTTGCTTTATCTATTTCGAGATTATTTCATGGCAGCAAATTTAGAATTATTACATCACCTTAATGAACCGCAGTCATTTTTATTTCTCATAGTGCCTTTGCCTTACAGTCCATTTTGCTGGATATCGATGTAACTAGACTAGATTGCTTTTGTTTAGTGTTTGCTTGCTGTATCTTTTCTATCCTTCCATGTTTATCCTCTGTGTGTCCTTTTAAGTATACTTTAAATGATATATATCTGAAAAATATTTTCTATACTCTCATAATCTATTTTTTAATCAATGGGTTTGGTCCATTTATATTTATTCTAATTACTGATATATTTGGATTTATTTCCATGACCTTATTTTGTGTTTTCTATTTGTGCTTCTTTTTCCATGCAGCTTCTTTCTTCTTTCCTTCTTTTTTAGGATTTGCACGAGTTTTCTTTATTTCTCAATCCAATATTTGTCCTTTTCTATTTGTCCTATTTTTTTTTTTTTTTTTTTTAGAGACAGGCTCTCACTCTGTCACCCAGGCTAGAGTGCAGTGGTGCAATCATAGCTCACTGCAACCTCAATCTCCTGGGATCAGTGATCCTCCTGCCTCAGCCTCCTGACTAGCTGGGACTACAGGCTCACACCACCACACCTGGCTAATTGTTTTATTTTTTGTACAGACAGGGTCTCGCTATGTTGCCCAGGCTGGTCTTGAACTCCTGACCTCAAGGGATCCTCCCACCTTAGCGTCCCAAAGTGCTGGGATTATAGGCATGAGCCACCATCGCTGGGCTACTTCCTATTCTTTTAGTGGTGACCTTTGACATTTTTATGTGCATAGTTAACAAGTTGTAAAGTTAATTTAGGTATTTAAGTTTTCCTGAACACTACAAGGACCTCAGAAGGCTTCCACTTTAATTACCTTCCCCGCCCCTCCTCAGCTTATATGTTACTATTTTACAGAATTTTAATTGTACATAAGAAAAGTAGTTGAAGCTGTGGAGCCTGGAGCCACAGGCTCTGGGGTTGAGTCCTGGTTCTTTCACTTACCAGCTGTGTGACTTAAGACAAATTACTTAACTCCTCTGTGCTTCGGTGACTTCCACAGCAAAATGGGGATGACAATCATGCCTACTTCTTAGGGCTGTTGAGAAGATTCAAAGAGCAAGTTCATGTGAAGCCCCTAGAACTGTGCTTAGCACACGGTAAATCTTCAAAAATGGTCCGCTGTCATCGTCACCATTATTGTACCCCATACAGTCAACACCGCTGCTGTTACGATAACGAACGCACACTCAGATCTGCTCTGCTTCCACTCTCTTTGCCTCCCGTTCCTTCTGGCATCTCAGGCCTTCTGAGATCGTTTCTTCCTCCTGAAGTGTGTTTAGAAGGTATTTTTAGTGAGGTTTATTGTGGGTCAACTTCAGGCTCTGTTGGTCAGAACAGTCTTTTGTCCTCATTCTTGGAAGATAGTCACATTGTAACCAGTTCTAGGTTGTTGACTGTTTTCTGTTAGCACTTTGATACGGCTGCATTTTTTCTCTGATGATTAATCAAATCAATTGTCACAGTCTCTGTAGGTAATTTATCTTTTCTCCATGGCTGTTTACTTCTAAGATTTCTTTTTCTTTGCTTTTTCCCAATGATCCACTGTGCTTCCCAGTAAGATTTCTTTGTCTCTGATGTTCTAAATTTTACTTAGATATAGCTAGATTAGGAATTCTTTTTTCTTACCCTGATTGGGGAATTATGATTCTTGAATCTAAGAATCCACATCTTTCATCAATTCTGGAAAAATTTCACCCATTATTTTTTCAGATATTGCCTCTGCCCGTTTTCTCTAGTCTCTCCTTTTGGAACTCCAACTAGGCACATGTGGGGTCTTCTCCTCTAACCTGCATCTTAACATCTTTTTCATATTTTCCACATTGTTTTTTTTCCCTCTGTGCTGCATTCTAGCTAATGTCTTTAGATACATCTTAGTTTACCATTTTATCTCAGCTGTATATAATCTGCTATTTTACCTGTCCATTGAATTTTTTAAAAACTATTATGATGGCAATTTTCCCTTCCTTTATTTTATTGTATTTATTTTTATAGAGACGGGGTCTTGCTCTTGCTCAGGCTGGTCTCGAACTCCTGACCTCCAGCAATCCTCCCACCTCAGCCTCCCAGAGTGCTACGATTACAGGCGTGAGCCACCGCGCTCGGCCTGCAATTTTCAAACTAATAGAAGAATAGAGAGAATAGTTTAGTGAATAGATGTTGCTCGCATCACCCAGTGTCAACAACAATTCATACGGACCCAATCTTGTTTCCTCTTTTCTCCCTCCCATCTAGCTACCCCCACCCCAGGTTATTTCAAAGCAAATCCCAGGCATCTTGTCATCCACTGAGCTTAAGCTTTTCAATTATTATAGGTTTCATTTCTGAAATTCCATTTGTTTCTTTTTTTAATCTGTTCTTTCTGAATAGTTTCTTATTCTTTGCTTATATTTTTATTCTCTCTTTTATGGCTTCAAACAGTTAACATACTTATTTTATATTCTGTATCTGATCACTCAAATCCTTGCTAATTTTTGGGACTTGGTCCTCTGTTTAGTGTTTCTGTTGACTCTTGATCATTGTAACTTATTTCCTTGTGCGTGGTTTGAATTTTGCACAGAGATAAGTTTCCTGAAATTGTAGGTATTAGTTGCCACATGCTAGATGGCCCAATGAATGTCCAATAATTTCATCTTCCCAACTTTACAAGACAATTTTATTCCTTTGCATAGATGAAGAAACTGAAGGTCAGGGAGGTTAAAAACTTGCCTGAGGCCATACTGCCCATACGTGATGGACCTGCTTTAGCATGAAACCCTCCCCACCACCCCTTCCCTGCCACAACCCACCACCCATAGAGGAAACTGACACGCCGTGTAAACCATGGAGGGCCCGACTTCTGTTGACTTGGGCACCTGGGGATTCTTCTCCGTGTTCCATAGGGGCCCCTGAGGAGACAAAGAGCCTCATGAAAGCTTCGTACACACCAGAAGTGATTGAGAAGTCAGTGAGGGACATAGAACACTGGCACGGCAGGAAGACGGACGATCTGGGTGAGTGGGGAGTGGGCACTCTACCCCCCGGGCAGGGTGTGTCGGCTCTAAGGTCCAGAGAGAAACCAGAGCAGGAAATAGAGCCTGGGGAGGACTCGGAAGAGATGTGGGCACTGCTGGGGCCTGGGCACTCCAGAGCCTGCTGGGTGACTTGTGCTGGCTCCTCCCCCGCTCTCTGTAGGACGGTGGCACCGGAAAAATGCTATGAACATGAACTTGCAGAAAGCACTGGATGAGAAATATGGAGACAAGAGCAAATCCAGGGGCTCGAAGTACTAGACACAACACAGAAGAGGTGCCCTCCACTCAAATAAAGTGCCAGCAATAAAGGCACAAACCCGAGCCCTTCCCCTCTGCTTGGTGCCTCTCTTCACGTTGGGCGGGGACCAGTGTGCCATGTTGGAGAGACCGGCTGAGGGAAGACGGAAGCCCTGAGGGCCCAGACTACCTCCCAGACCTTCCCCCTATGTACACACACACACACACACACACACACACACACACACACGCTCCTTCACGCCTTCCCCAGTTATCCCAGGAATCGACGTGAGAGCTGAGTGCAACTCTGTCCCCAGCCCAGTGTGCCTGGCTTCCCCCAGTGCCCTGTGTGGAGGGGTCCTACGGTGGGCGCTGCTGGATCTTACCCTGCACACCTTCCCCAGCAGACTCCAATTATTTCCAGACACCCCTTCCTCCCTCTGTAAGCCCATGGGCTTCAGAGGAATCGGCCACACACACTCCCTCCAATCTAGTGGTGGGTTTGATTGGTTGTATGGTAATTCTTTTTGTTGTTGTTGTTGAAACCAGGTCTCACTCTATCACCCCAGGTGGTGTGCAGTAGTGTCATCATAGCTCACTGCAACCTCAAACACCTGGGTTCAAGCGATCTTCCTGCCTCAGCCTCCCCAGTAGCTGGGACTACAGGCGCACACCACCACATCCAGCTAATTTTTGTATTTTTTGTCTCACTGTGTTGCTCAGGCTGGTCTCAAACTCCTGGCCTCAAGCGATCCTCCTGCCTCAGCCTCCCAAAGTGCTGGGATTACAGGCATGAGCCACCACCCCGGCCTCAAATGGTAATTCTCAGCCCCCGCCCCCACCCCCCACATAATGTGATTGGTTCAGACAGGGGCATGTGACTCAATCTGGGCCAACGGGTGCAAGGAAAAGTGTGGGTGTGTCTTTTCTCTGCCGGGAATGCTGGGGGAGCAGCCCTCTCTCCCGATGTATGGATTGAGGAACCATGCAGCCTGGACTGCTCCTGGCAGACACTCTCAGATCAGAGGAACTGCAGACCCAGCAGCACAATCTGGGTCCTCGGTGACCTCACTGAGCTACTCCACCAAGTTGACCAGAAGCCGCCCACCTCTGGACTTCCTGTGACGTGAGCCTGAGCATCTATCTCCTCACTGTCTAAGCAGCCAAAGCGTCCTTATCCCATAAGCTCCCTGGTAGCAACAGGGGTGAGACCTGGTAATTGGAGCCCCAGGGAAGACTACCCCAGAGAATGGGTTCCAGGTCAGACCGTTGTATCTACCAGTTGCTCTTGAAGCTTTTCACCTGGATGGTCTCTAAGCCAGCAGCACGCCCGTCCCCAGGTACTGGCTTCCACTCTCAGAAATTTCGGGTATTAGTTGCCACATGCTATATGGCCCAATGAATGTCCAATAATTTAATCTTTTTATTATTTATTTTATCTATTATTTACTGTGTTCCAAACCACACCAAAACCTGTTGGCTTAAAATGACATGATCATTTATTTGCTTGTGATTGTGCGATTTGGGCAGAGCTCAGCAGGTGTGGCTCGTTTCTGCTCCACGTGGCACTGCTATGAAGATGACCGCTTCTCTCACATGCCTGGTGCCTCAGCTGAGATGATCACCACAGCTGGGGACTGGCTGGGCACAGCTCTCTCCTTGTGGCCAGCTTGGGCTTCCTCTGATATGGTGACTGGGTTCCAGGAAGGAGCCTACAAGGGGATGAGATTCAACGTGTAAGGGTTTATCAGCCTTGCGCTGGCTTGCTAATGTTGCCAAGCCCAGATTTTGTGAGAGGAGACTACACAAGAGCATCACTGTAATATATACAGGAGTGGTTCATTGGAGACCACCAAAATAACAGTCTACACCAGCGATCACCTTGCTTTGGAAAGGTCAAAAGCAAAAGGAAGAATCAAAATCACTGGCAGGAGAAGGGGAAGACATGTCCTCCTTCCCCCACAAAAGGGATTGATTTCTTCAAGATAGGATTTGATCAGCATGTAATACAGAGAAGTGAATTTGACTTGATTTAGTATTTATTGAGTACCAAACTGTGTGCAAGGTGCTGAGTTCTGCTCGACTTCTTTACTGGGTACCTAACTTCTGCAAGGCACTGGAAGAACCAGACTTTGTCTTTATCGAGTAGCTACTATGTGCCCATCACATGTGGCACCTGAGAAAATGAGCCATGCAAAGTACTGTGGCTGAAGTAGACTCTGTACTGTTCTGACACAGAAATGATAATGTGGCAAACACGTGATTATGCACCACACGCTTTACACACACAACCTTATTTCATCCTTATGCCAGTCCTTGAAGCTGATCCCCTTAGTGCAGGTGAAGAAACTGAGGCTTGGAGAGGCCAAGGAAGTTATACTTAACACAATTATGCCAATAGGAAGCTGGGCTCCAAACCCAGGAATTTCTGACCAAAGCCACTTTCTTCTCTACCGGGCAATCCTACTGCAGTGTCAACAAACATACTGAGCATACTTAGGCACTGTGGGGACAGCAATATGAATGCAATGCTGTTCTTGTCCTCAAGAACTTTACAGTCGCAGAGGACTGGTGTGGAAAAATATGGCTTTGAGGCTTAGCTCCTCATCTGACCCACACGTACTCAGCCCTGCCCAGCCCTGACTGATGAGAAAGGAATGAATAAGACATGGTGCCTGTCCTCCAGGAGTTCAGAGTCTCATAGGGAGACAGACACAGCAGTGAATAGATGCTGAGAAGTTTTATTCATGAGTGAGAAGTTCATAGAGGGCCAGTGAAAGCACAAAGGAGAACGTGGTCACCTCTACCTGGGATGCTGGGAGGGGGTGCTGGTGACATGGTAGGCTTCATCCAGGAGGTGGCTCTCGAGAAGAATCTTGGAACACGAGAGGTATGTTCAGGTGGACTGGAAGAGGTGCAGCACTCCAGACAGAGGGCACAGTATGCACAAGCCCCAGCATGATGTATTTGAGGAGCTAGGTGGCTCATTAAGCTTGGAAGGCAGTAGGGTTTATGCCCGGATGTGGCTGTGCTGTGGGGACCTCCAATGCAAGACCCAGCCCTTCCATCTAGGAGCGTACAGCCTGGCTGGAACACTAAGGGTTAATAATACCTGAAGAAGCCACGCAGAGGAGTGGAAGAGATGCTCATTATCCCCGACAGTCAGGGATGCAAATTAAAATAATAAAGTCATCAGCTTGGCAAAAATTAAAATGCAAGTGTAGGTGAGAAGGAGAGAAATGGAGGCTCTCATACACTCCATGAATTATGAATTATAAGGGAGTATTTAGCAAAATTGAAATTATATTTTATAACCTGAAAATTCCATTTCTACATAGCCTAGACTAGAAATGCTTAAACATGCACACAAGGAGCCCCACACAAAGACATTCATGCAGAGTTGTTTGTAACCGTGAAAAAACCTAAGTGTCTTTCAGCAGGAGAATGGACCAATGGGACCGTGAATGGCAGTGGAAAGGAACGAACCACATCTGCATGTACCGGCAGCGAAAGGTCTTACAATATATCAAAGTGGGTGAAAACGGCAATCTTCAGAACAAGCCCTACTCCGGGAAACGTACTGTTGATTTGGCCTTCAAAAGGCAAACACAAAACCACTATCGCTCATGGATATATTTACAAGCGTATGCAAGGTGGGTTGGAAAGATACTGCAGAAACCCACCCTCACATTGCATTTAGCTTAGCACTTTGAAGAAGCAGCTTTACAAGAGAGAGCTCAGACGCTAGAAAAAGTGGCTGAGTAACACAATGTTGGTGAGCTGATTTAAAGTTAAGTGAGCAATTTCAATTTTGACATAAATGAATAAATGTAACATGTTATGTGACTTTGCCTCAATTAAAGATTCCATCTCAGAACATTAAGAGGAACTCTTTCAAATTAAACATTGAATATTTTAGAGAGAAAAGCTGTAATCTTGGCAAAGTAAATAAAGCATAAATTTTTCTTTTTAAGTTAAAGAATGCCTTTATCCCACTGATGCTCTTTCCGACAGCATTCCTTATTCTTCCTGCTCCTGAGGTTCCTAGATGGTGAGATTCACAGTGATTGTTAAGTTTCAAGGAAGTACAGGGACCAGGTCTTAAGTGGCATTAATTCACATAGTGAAAAAAATTATTCATCCTTCCATTCATGCAGGGCCTTATTTGCCCAAAGTGACTCAGAACCATCTTCGTAATTTCTGACATATCCACGTACCACTTGAGCAGACAACAATAAAGCAATTTAGGATGCTTTAACCTGGGGCACAGTTGGCCAGCCTGTCATGGCTATAATTCCAGTCCAGCTCTCCCCCTGGTGGCAGTGTCTCCAAATTGCAGGCATAGTGTTTAAGAATCATAAATCCACAATGTACATGCTGAGGGAACCTAGAGACCATTTAGTTACATCTTTTTAACTATGCCTTTCCTGCTCCCCACCCCAGACCCATTTTATAGATGAGGAAAGTGAGGCCCAATGGAATAAATGCATGTTTAAACTGGAGATGAAAAGTCCCTGTTGTCTGCTTTGCAAATCCAAACTGCCCTTGACGGCATGGAATGGCAGGTTGATCTTTTTCCCCATTCTCCCTCCCGGAATCCTGATCTCTGGAACAAACAGTATCAAGCAAGAGCTGAAGCAAACTCAGAGGAAAATCCAAATGCAGGTGTGCAGTCAAGAGGCAACATGAGAATCTACCTCGGCTCTAGTCCTTGGGAAAACCACCTTCCCGGTTATCTCTAGAGCAGTAATAGAGGGGAAATCACACTTCTTTCAGAGGCTGTTGTAAGGATTACCCGAGAAAATATGTGCTGTGTACCTGGCACAGAGCCCTTGGTGCCCTCTCAGTGGCCCCACTGCCGTGGCTAACTCTGCTCACGGTGGGCAGGACCGGATGGATGCCGGCTCGACAGCTGTGAGATCCCAGCAAGTGACTTAAGCCTCCTCTGAACCTCAGGTTCCCGTCTGTGAACCGCGGCTACTCACAGAACCTACCACATAGGGCAGTTGTGAGAGGTCAAA